AGATACTATCTTGTGTTGGTTTTTTTTATTTCCAGAGCTATTTATAGAGCGCTTTTGTATGACTGGAGGCAACAGTCTTATTGGGTATCTGAAAGCCTACCACGCCAACCTTTATCTGTCAGCTGATTCAATGAAAGTTAGAGAAGCCATCGAAGAAGGTGAGTGGAGTGGTTTGGGGAATTAATTAACTTTTAACGGTAGAATCATAAATATACTAATTTTGATTCAATATGAAATTCTTTCTTATTAGGAATTGCAGCAGCAACAGTATTCTCACCTGGAAAAATCACAGAGGTGCCGGAGACTCAGCTGCGAGTGGCCTTCGATGGAGATGCTGTTCTCTTTTCAGATGAGTCAGAGAGAATCTACAAAGCCCACGGACTGGACAAGTTCTTTGAGCACGAGAAAGCCCATGAAAATAAACCTCTTGATCATGTATGTTCAATTTAAATTTAATAGCATGCAATAATATAGTGTTTAAACTCCATTGATGATGTGAATGATTGCTGTAAAACATCTACTGACACTTTCACAAGAAAACGGGGGTATTATACTTCTGACATCAGTGAATTATTACCTTACCATTTTTCATAGGGACCACTTAAGGGGTTCTTGGAAGCTCTAGGGAAGCTGCAACAGAAATTCTATGCTAAAGGTCAGCGCCTGGACTGTCCCATCCGCACCTATTTGGTTACAGCTCGCAGTGCAGCCAGTTCAGGCACCCGGGCCCTGTTTAAACTCCATTGATGATGTGAATGATTGCTGTAAAACATCTACTGACACTTTTTCACAAGAAAACGGGGGTATTATACTTCTGACATCAGTGAATTATTACCTTACCATTTTTCATAAGGACCACTTAAGGGGTTCTTGGAAGCTCTAGGGAAGCTGCAACAGAAATTCTATGCTAAAGGTCAGCGCCTGGACTGTCCCATCCGCACCTATTTGGTTACAGCTCGCAGTGCAGCCAGTTCAGGCACCCGGGCCCTCAAGACGTTACGTTCCTGGGGTCTAGAGACAGATGAGGCCCTGTTCCTAGCAGGAGCCCCTAAAGGCCCCATGCTGGAAAAGATCAGACCTCACATCTTCTTCGATGATCAAATGTTCCACGTGGAGGGAGCAGCAGAACTTGGGACTGTGGCGGCTCATGTTCCCTATGGAATTGCCCAGACGGTTCAATCAAAGACAGCGAGGGATGTAAAAAAAGACATGCCAGCCAAGCAGCTAGAGTGAATACTGCTCTCTTCATCCTGGGTGTGAGGAGTTCAAATAAGGTTTTAAAGGGATGTTTCACACCAAAATGAAAAATCTCTCATCATTTACTCCTAGATTTACACATCTAGCCTGTGTGAGTTTATTTCTTCTGTTCAGCCCAGAAGAGTGTTAGTAACCAAACAGCTGACGGTAGCCGTTGACTTTCATAGTATGGGAAAAAAGGTACTATGGAAGTCAGTGGCTACCAGCCATTTTTGAGTTTCTTTGTAATTGGTTACTTTCCAAAAGTAAGTAAATAAATAAATAAAGTGTTAAAATAGCTACTCAGCTTCCAAAAACAGGCCAGTTTGTCAGTGGCAGAGCCTTTGCACTGAACATCATAGCTTTGAAGTTGTTTACTACGTTATATCAAGCCATAAATAAACAGAGAAAAAAAGTGGTATTATACCGTTGAGTTAAATTGTTACATTTTCTGTTCTAATGTAATAGCAAATGTTATTTATTTTATTATGCCAGAGTCTAGCTAAAGCTAAAATGCACCAAATGCATGTTGGATATCATAAATATAGCCTTTAGCCATGCATATGTTCAGCTTTTATATTGCAATAGTCTGGTTTTGAAGCACCATCTCTGTTATTGTTTACTGTAAATGGCTGTTTAACACTGTACTGAAACCTTTATGTGTGTACATCTGTTATACAGTGTTTAAATCCATCAGTGTTACTATGAACAAATTTGGTTCCCGTGTTTGTGAAATCCTGTGTGTTACTCAGGGCATGCTCACAAGTCAGTGTTTTGCACTAAACACCATATTAAACAGTGAAGAGGAAATAAATGTTGAAAAGCAGGCCATATTTTTTTCTCATTTGAGTGCAAAATATTTAAGTAAGCTAGGTAATAGACTAGAGCAATCCAGCTTTGATAGCTTTAGACTGCTTGGTCACTAGCGTAAAGCAAAACAAATGACCCTGTGGGCGAAATGACAGAAATATCCCTATTTCTCCACTTCTTCAAATAACCACTAATGTCAAATTACCATTTTGTGTGTGTGTGTGTGTGTACTGGTTTATATATCCTGGTGGGGATTAAACCTGACTACACACAGACTCATGGGGACGGTGGGGACCTAAATTGCGGTCCCCACGGGTACAAAAGCTTATTGATTTTTGAAAATCTAAAAATGCAGAAAGTTTGCTGTGAGGGGTAGGTTTAGGGGTAGGGTTGGTGTAGGGCAATAGAATATAGGGTCTGTACAGTATAAAAACCATTACGCCTATAGAGAGTCCCCACAAGTATAGCTGACCAGACTGTGTGTGTGTGTACTGGTTTATATATCCTGGTGGGGACTTAAACCTGACTACACACAGACTCATGGGGACCCGTGTCACGGTGGGGACCTAAATTGTGGTCCCCACGGGTACAAAAGCTAATAAATCTTACAGAATTAAGTTTTTTGAAAATCTTAAAATGCAGAAAGTTTGCTGTGAGGGGTAGGGTTGGTGTAGGGCAACAGAATATAGGGTCTGTACAGTATAAAAACCATTACGCCTATAGAGAGTCCCCACTAGTATAGCTGACCAGACTTTGTGTGTGTGTGTGTGTGTGTGTGTGTGAGTGTGAGAACTACAGTTACCATAGTAACTTAAGGGCGGAACTTCAAAAATGTCCTCAGTTCAGAAACTCTGCTGGCCCTTTAATCGCGTCCAGCTGGTTAATGTGTCACCCACGCTAAATAGTACGCCTAACATCTGGATCAGTTTAGTTCATGTTTACAGAGTGTTTGTAGACTAGTTTGTGCATCGTTTCGGTCTTTGTTTAGGAATGTGACTGATCACATGATTAGAGTCATATGACATTGATGAGCCCAAGACAGAGGGAATGAGAGCAGAAATCTTCGACAGTTCTCAATAATACACTAATACTGTCGTCTGTCGTGATGCAGTCAGGTGGATAGACAGATGTGGCGACTCCTGAGGTAAACCGCTGGATCATGGAGCGTTTGGGAGTTTGGTCTGTTCTCGCCACCGCTTGTGTTTTTGGTGAGTTTCAGAAACTGCAGATTAACAGATAAATGTGATTTAGCGCAATGTCAAAACACATTTTAGTATTTAACTTTTATCGTTGGACTAATATTTTAAAATGTATTGAAGTGTCATGGTCGTGAAGAAAAATGTAAAGGTTTCACTTTTTGAACGGCAGCAACATTTCTCCTTGTGAATGAACCATGTACATTTTACTTTACTTTTAGTCATTTAGCAGACGCTTTTATCCAAAGCGACTTACAAATGAGAAAAAGTCATTCAAACTAAGAGCGAAAACTCTGTAAATACTATATATATATACACACACATTTAAGAAAAGAAAAGAAATTAAATAAAAATGACAAATGCATACAACAACATTTCAAAACTAAACATTTAAATGAAAACAAAAAAATAAATAAAGCTAAAAACAATTCAAAATATGAAAAGAACAAAAGGTATGAGTATGATAATGATTCTAACATAACACGAAGCCAAACAGCAAAAAACAACTACATATGTGTATGTACAGCCACACACATATACATATACATGTACACATATATATATATATATATAAATACATTCAATATATATATATTATTTCATTTCCATTTTGTATGTTGAAGTACTGAAATAACTTAAAT